TGTTCCTACCTAGTACCCACCCCTTGTTCTTCCCTAGTACCCACCCCTTGTTCTTACCTAGTACCCAGCCCTTGTTCTTACCTAGTACCCAGCCCTTGTTCTTACCTAGTACCCCAGCCCTTGTTCTTACCTAGTACCCAGCCCTTGTTCTTACCTAGTACCCAGCCCTTGTTCTTACCTAGTACCCAGCCCTTGTTCTTACCTAGTACCCAGCCCTTGTTCTTACCTAGTACCCAGCCCTTGTTCTTACCCAGTACCCAGTCCTTGTTCCTTCCTAGTACCCAGCCCTTGTTCTTACCCAGTACCCAGCCCTTGTTCTTACCTAGTACCCCAGCCCTTGTTCCTACCTAGTACCCAGCCCTTGTTCTTACCTAGTACCCAGCCCTTGTTCTTACCTAGTACCCAGCCCTTGTTCTTACCTAGTACCCAGCCCTTGTTCTTACCTAGTACCCAGCCCTTGTTCTTCCCTAGTACCCAGCCCTTGTTCTTACCTAGTACCCAGCCCTTGTTCCTACCTAGTACCCAGCCCTTGTTCTTACCCAGTACCCAGTCCTTGTTCCTTCCTAGTACCCAGCCCTTGTTCTTACCTAGTACCCCACCCCTTGTTCTTACCTAGTACCCAGCCCTTGTTCCTACCTAGTACCCACCCCTTGTTCTTACCTAGTACCCAGCCCTTGTTCTTACCTAGTACCCACCCCTTGTTCTTCCCTAGTACCCACCCCTTGTTCTTACCTAGTAGTCCATCCCTTGTTCCTACCTAGTACCCACCACTTGTTCTTCCCTAGTACCCACCCCTTGTTCTTACCTAGTACCCAGCCCTTGTTCTTACCCAGTTCCCAGCCCTTGTTCTTACCTAGTACCCAGCCCTTGTTCTTACCTAGTACCCAGCCCTTGTTCTTACCTAGTATCCAGCCCTTGTTCTTACCTAGTACCCCAGCCCTTGTTCTTACCTAGTACCCACCCCTTGTTCTTACCTAGTACCCAGCCCTTGTTCTTACCTAGTACCCAGCCCTTGTTCTTACCTAGTACCCCAGCCCTTGTTCTTCCCTAGTACACCAGCCCCTTGTTCTTACCTAGTACCCAGCCCTTGTTCTTACCTAGTACCCAGCCCTTGTTCTTACCTAGTACCCAGCCCTTGTTCTTACCTAGTACCCAGCCCTTGTTCTTACCTAGTACCCAGCCCTTGTTCTTACCTAGTACCCCAGCCCTTGTTCTTACCTAGTACCCAGCCCTTGTTCTTACCTAGTACCCAGCCCTTGTTCTTACCTAGTACCCAGCCCTTGTTCTTACCTAGTACCCCAGCCCCTTGTTCTTACCTAGTACCCAGCCCTTGTTCCTACCCAGTACCCAGCCCTTGTTCTTACCTAGTACCCCAGCCCTTGTTCTTCCCTAGTACACCAGCCCCTTGTTCTTACCTAGTACCCAGCCCTTGTTCTTACCCAGTACCCAGCCCTTGTTCTTACCTAGTACCCCAGCCCTTGTTCTTCCCTAGTACACCAGCCCCTTGTTCTTACCTAGTACCCAGCCCTTGTTCTTACCTAGTACCCAGCCCTTGTTCTTACCTAGTACCCAGCCCTTGTTCTTACCTAGTACCCAGCCCTTGTTCTTACCTAGTACCCAGCCCTTGTTCTTACCTAGTACCCCAGCCCTTGTTCTTACCTAGTACCCCAGCCCTTGTTCTTACCTAGTACCCAGCCCTTGTTTTTACCTAGTACCCAGCCCTTGTTCTTACCTAGTACCCCAGCCCCTTGTTCTTACCTAGTACCCAGCCCTTGTTCCTACCCAGTACCCAGCCCTTGTTCTTACCTAGTACCCCAGCCCTTGTTCTTCCCTAGTACACCAGCCCCTTGTTCTTACCTAGTACCCAGCCCTTGTTCTTACCCAGTACCCAGCCCTTGTTCTTACCTAGTACCCCAGCCCTTGTTCTTCCCTAGTACACCAGCCCCTTGTTCTTACCTAGTACCCAGCCCTTGTTCTTACCCAGTACCCAGCCCTTGTTCTTACCTAGTACCCAGCCCTTGTTCTTACCTAGTACCCACCCCTTGTTCTTACCTAGTACCCCAGCCCTTGTTCTTACCTAGTACCCAGCCCTTGTTCTTACCTAGTACCCAGCCCTTGTTCTTACCTAGTACCCCAGCCCCTTGTTCTTACCTAGTACCCAGCCCTTGTTCCTACCCAGTACCCAGCCCTTGTTCTTACCTAGTACCCCAGCCCTTGTTCTTCCCTAGTACACCAGCCCCTTGTTCTTACCTAGTACCCAGCCCTTGTTCTTACCCAGTACCCAGCCCTTGTTCTTACCTAGTACCCCAGCCCTTGTTCTTCCCTAGTACACCAGCCCCTTGTTCTTACCTAGTACCCAGCCCTTGTTCTTACCCAGTACCCAGCCCTTGTTCTTACCTAGTACCCCAGCCCTTGTTCTTCCCTAGTACACCAGCCCCTTGTTCTTACCTAGTACCCCAGCCCTTGTTCCTACCTAGTACCCAGCCCTTGTTCTTACCTAGCACCCAGCCCTTGTTCTTACCTAGCACCCAGCCCTTGTTCTTACCTAGTACCCCAGCCCATGTTCTTGTAACACCATTAATATGTTTTATTTAATCCTTCACATACAGCAAGAGTTCAGTCACACAGGATAAAGGTGTCGCCAGACACTCGGCCCTTAGCAATTAAGAAGTAACACCTTTAGAGATTAATGGACATAAGTTGAGTATCAGTCCAGTCGTGTGAAGTGATGTTGTTTCTGCTAAGGTGATAATTGCAACTAATGACTGTGTCTGTCCATCAATCAAGCCGCTACACACAGAAATCCCACTAACGTGATGCATCAAATGATTAAGGCAGTGTCTAGGATGCTCCCGGACGCAGGTTCGAATCCTCGTCATGGCCCTTGTGGATTTGTTCAAACAAGCCGCTGTCTGAGTAACAGATAGATAGCCAGAGTTTATCTACTTGGTAGGCGGACTAACCCAACACCTCTCCCCAACCCTCTCTATCAAACTAAGTCTCAGAGACTTTAGTGAGTGAACTTGTAAGGTGATGTATACTGTGTTTCCCAACTTAGGTTTGTTGTTGTTGTTGTTTAAGAGTTAGCTACTCAGAAGGAAGTGTCCATGTAGCACGGGCTATGGTGAGCCCGTAACAGACTTAGGTGTTGAGTGTCGTCCAGGGACACTCAGCCGTAGTGCTCTCAATTTCTTGTGTGATGACTCAAAGTGTGTATTAATGTTGACATATTGAACATCAAGTGAAAGGGTTGAATTATGATGATCATAATAGTAAATAGATAATTGATTAACTTATTTTTGTAAATTGTCTTCAATTGTGATCCCTAGATCTTGGATTTTGCAGGCTAGTGTGGAGAGCACTCTGAAGTTTACTGGCTTAAGACGTTGACTTAAAGGGTCTTGGTTACACGAGTACACGCTTACAGGTGGCACCTGATAACACCAGATAATACTGTTGTGCAGACAAGTTCCATTCCTTGTCTGATAATATTTTTAACGAGAATAGATGGTGGGAGCAACCTCCTACTTTCTAAACCTTACCATCTATCTTTCAACTCTAATACACTTCTTCTCTTACTGTCTACCCTTCTACTCTCCTCCTTGATCTCATTCTCTCTCTCCACGTTACCTTTCTTCTGACCATACTCCCCACACATCCCTTCCCCCTCTACCATCACCCCTTACCATCACCCCCTTACCATCACCCCTTACCATCACCCCTTACCATCACCCCTTACCATCACCCCTTACCATCACCCCTTACCATCACCCCTTACTATCACCCCTTACCATCATTCCTTACCATCACCCCCTTACCATCACCCCTTACCATCACCCCTTACCATCACCCCTTACCATCACCCCTTACCATCACTCCCTACCATCACCCCTTACCATCACCCCCTTACCATCATTCCTTACCATCACCCCTTACCATCACTCCCTACCATCACCCCTTACCATCACCCCTTACCATCACCCCTTACCATCACCCCTTACCATCACCCCTTACCATCACCCCTTACCATCACTCCCTACCATCACCCCTTACCATCACCCCTTACCATCACCCCTTACCATCACCCCTTACCATCACCCCTTACCATCACCCCTTACCATCACTCCCTACCATCACCCCTTACCATCACCCCCTTACCATCACCCCTTACCATCACCCCCTTACCATCACCCCTTACCATCACCCCTTACCATCACCCCTTACCATCACCCCCTTACCATCACCCCTTACCATCACCCCTTACCATCACCCCTTACCATCACCCCCTTACCATCACCCCTTACCATCACCCCTTACCATCACCCCCTTACCATCACCCCTTACCATCACCCCTTACCATCACCCCTTACCATCACCCCCTTACCATCACCCCTTACCATCACCCCTTACCATCACCCCTTACCATCACCCCTTACCATCACCCCCTTACCATCACCCCTTACCATCACCCCTTACCATCACCCCTTACCATCACCCCCTTACCATCACCCCTTACCATCACCCCTTACCATCACCCCCTTACCATCACCCCTTACCATCACCCCTTACCATCACCCCCTTACCATCCCCCCTTACCATCACCCCTTACCATCACCCCTTACCATCACCCCTTACCATCACCCCTTACCATCACCCCTTACCATCACCCCTTACCATCACCACCCCTTACCATCACCCCCTTACCATCACCCCTTACCATCACCCCTTACCATCACCCCTTACCATCACTCCCTACCATCACCCCTTACCATCACCCCTTACCATCACCCCTTACCATCACCCCTTACCATCACCCCCTTACCATCACCCCTTACCATCACCCTTACCATCATTCCTTACCATCACCCCTTACCATCACCCCTTACCATCACCCCTTACCATCACCCCCTTACCATCACCCCTTACCATCTGGGCCTCCTAGTCCTCCCCACTTTAGCCAGTGACGGAGGTAAACAAGGAAGAGAGAAAAGGCCAGACCTCTAGCCCTCAGCGCCTTCCTCAGCGCCGCCCTCAGCACAGCCCTCAGCACAGCTCTCAGCACAGCTCTCAGCACAGCCCTCAGCGCCTTCCTCAGCGCCGCCCTCAGCACAGCCCTCAGCACAGCTCTCAGCACAGCTCTCAGCACAGCCCTCAGCGCCGCCCTCAGCACAGCTCTCAGCACAGCCCTCAGCACAGCTCTCAGCACAGCTCTCAGCACAGCCCTCAGCGCCTTCCTCAGCGCCGCCCTCAGCACAGCCCTCAGCACAGCTCTCAGCACAGCTCTCAGCACAGCCCTCAGCGCCGCCCTCAGCACAGCTCTCAGCACAGCCCTCAGCACAGCTCTCAGCACAGCCCTCGGCACAGCCCTCAGCACAGCCCTCGGCACAGCCCTCAGCACAGCCCTCAGCACAGCCCTCAGCGCCGTCCTCAGCGCCGCCCTCAGCACAGCCCTCAGCACAGCCCTCAGCACAGCCCTCAGCACAGCCCTCGGCACAGCCCTCAGCGCCGCCCTCAGCACAGCTCTCAGCACAGCTCTCAGCACAGCCCTCAGCACAGCCCTCAGCACAGCCCTCAGCACAGCCCTCGGCACAGCCCTCAGTACAGCCCTCGGCACAGCTCTCAGCACAGCTCTCAGCACAGCCCTCAGCGCCGCCCTCAGCACCGCCCTCAGCACAGCCCTCAGCACAGCTCTCAGCTTGAGAGCTTGAGGGTGCTCGAGCCCCTGAGTGGCTGAAACAGATCAAGCAGTCCAAACAGTAGGTTAATAAAGACTTGTACCACGAACCACAAGCACCAGGACGATGGCAGCACTGGCGAGGAAGGTTACCATCCTGTCTTTGTTCACGTCACAAAAACACACTGATACAGTGTACTGTTTTTGTTGTGTTGAAATATTGAAATATTTAAGTGTGGCCAACCACGCACAAACAATGTCCGATAGTTAGCTAACAGTAACTTTAGCTAAGTTACAGAGGTAAAAGTTATTTATTACCTTACCTACGCTTACCTAACCTTACCTATGACCAGGACGAAGGGTAGGAATCAGGGAAAAAAATACGTGTGGGAAGGTAGAAAGATGAAACTATAAACAGGAAAGCCAGAGAAAGGAGGAGAAGAGATATAGAATAATTGTCACGGGGCAAGGAACAGAGGACGTCGCATATTTATGACCGTAAGCCAAGACACGCAAGGCTGTGATAAAGAAAATGTGAAGAAGGGCAGAGACAGTCAAGAAAAAATTAAGAAAAGTTGAGGAGAATTTGAGGAAGGAAATAGATGAGAAGAGACCTTATATACCTCAAGGGACAATGTATGAAGCCGGAGGCCGTACCTTTGGAGATGGGGAAGTATTTTGGAGATGAAAAAGTACTTTGAAGCTGCGGCCGTACTTTAGGGATGGGGGAAGTACTTTAAAGTTGAGGCCAGTCCTACTTATCTGCTACCATCCTACCTGCCACATCCTCCCGACCTGCCCCATCCTCCCGACCTGGCCCATCCTCCCGACCTGCCCTATCCTCCCGACCTGCCCCATCCTCCCGACCTGCCCCATCCTCCCGACCTGCCCCATCCTCCCGACCTGCCACATCCTCCCGACCTGCCCCATCCTCCCGACCTGGCCCATCCTCCCGACCTGCCCTATCCTCCCGACCTGCCCCATCCTCCCGACCTGCCCCATCCTCCCGACCTGCCCCATCCTCCCGACCTGCCCCATCCTCCCGACCTGCCCTATCCTCCCGACCTGCCCCATCCTCCCGACCTGCCCCATCCTCCCGACCTGCCCCATCCGGCCGACTCAGGTTTCCAATTGAAATGAAGTGGAGATGTCTTCAACAAGAGAGAAGATTTGGCGCCTGCCGCTGCAATATCTCGTTATTAGGCGCAAGGAACCGTTGCCATGCAACAGGATGTGACGTGTGAATCAACAGAAATGATCACTGGAATTGATGGGGGGTTCTGCATGGGTTTAGGGTAACGTGTGGGTTGGGTGTCGTTAGTTAAAGGTGTAGTTTTTGTGGGTTTGTGGTGCAGAGATGTTTTAATGGGATTAGGCAGAGTATGATGTGGTTGTATTGGGTTTAGACAGAGTAAGATGTGGTTTTATTGGGTTTAGACAGAGTAAGATGTGGTTTTATTGGGTTAAGACAGAATATGATGTGGTTTTATTCGGTTAAGACAGAATATGATATGGTTTTATTGGGTTTAGACAGAATAAATTATGGTTGCATTGAATTTAGACAGAATAAGATGTGGTTTTATTGGGTTAAGACAGAATATGATATGGTTTTATTGGGTTTAGACAGAATAAATTATGGTTGCATTGAATTTAGACAGAATAAGATGTGGTTTTATTGGGTTTAGACAGAATAAGATGTGGTTTTATTGGGTTTAGGCAGAGTATGTGGTTGTATTGGGTTTAGACAGAATAAAATGTGGTTTTATTGGGTTTAGACAGAATAAATTATGGTTGCATTGGGTTTAGACAGAATAAGATGTGGTTTTATTGGGTTTAGACAGAATAAGATATGGTTTTATTAGGTTTAGACAGAATAAAATGCGGTTTTATTGGGTTTAGACAGAATAAAATGTGGTTTTATTAGGTTTAGACAGAATAAAATGTGGTTTTATTAGGTTTAGACTGAATAAGATGTGGTTTTATTGGGTTAAGACAGAAAAAGATGGGATTTTCCTTGCCCCTAAACGAAGATCTGGTTGGTGAATTTTTGCAGCAGGAATAATAACAGCGACATCCGTCACTTTTGTATTAAAAAGAAACGCTTACGAGTTAGTGAACTTTCATTTTCAGCCTGTCGCGTGGCGTCTCTGGACGAGCAACCTTCTGAAAAGGGTTAAAAATGACAATTTTCTTTTATGGCTGTATTTTAGGTCCAAATAAAGTCATGCTCACAAATTGGACCATTTCTTAAGGGTTCAGATCCCTCGTTCCAGATAGCATCTTCGATAAAGGCGTCGTGAAGACTCCATATCGGCGAAGGAGAAGGAATTTGATGTTTTAAATGGAGTTGCGTCTATATTAAGTACGTAGTGTTTTTTTTTTGGGGGGGAGGGGGGTTTCTTTTATTTAACATTTCGCCTGATGCTATTTCTGTTTCTACTCCATTCTTGTTGTTACATTATTTTATTCGTTACTCTCTGTCTGCTACGTTTGTCTCATTATCATCTTCATTACTTGTTCTCTGATCACTTTCAATATCTCTTCGCAATCTGGCAAATATTCATAGTTTATTTATTTTATTAAGGTATTTCATTTGAAAAACAAAAGAAAATATATCAGTGGACCATTTTAGCACAGCCATGATAGCTGAGATCAATACTTTATGAACTCAAATCGACTCAAATGCCTTCAATTCACCCATACACATTAAATCCACGTATATAACTTCAATCCATTCATGACTTTAGTTCATTCACCATTTCTTTCATCTCCTTGTGCCTTCAGCTTTCTGACTTGCGGCATTAGTTCACATCTCTCTCACGTTCGCATCCCATCCACAGCTTCCAGCGTTTCTTCCGGTGAAATATTGCAGCACAAACATTGCAACGCATAAAGTTGGCTGGTGATAGCATTGATTTTTCGGCATCTTCCTCCTGGATTCATGTCTCAACCGGCTCTAAGAACCTGAAGAACAGGGGGGCGGGGGGAGGAGGCTGGAGGTAAGAATGTTGAAAAACTGGGCCATTCTTCCCTAGCACCACTGACTGGTGGGCTGGAAGACCCCCCCCTTCCCCCCCTCTCCCCTTCCCCCCCTCCCCCCCTCACCCTCCCCCCCCCCTTGCAACGTTCTCTTAAAGACATTTGCAATATTTCCAGTTGCACAAATATTACAGTGTTGTCAGCTGTAGCTCTTGCAGTGTCACCAGTTACAGATCTGGCAACCTTGACGCTCAGGTGGATAATCCTGAGTTAGTGACCTCAGCTGGTGTTGACCTCAGCTGGTGTTGACCTCAGCTGGTGTTGACCTCAGCTGGTGTTGACCTCAGCTGGCGTTGACCTCAGCTGGTGTTGACCTCAGCTGGTGTTGATCTCAGCTAGTGTTGACCTCAGCTGGTGTTGATCTCAGCTAGTGTTGACCTCAGCTGGCGTTGACCTCAGCTGGTGTTGACCTCAGCTGGTGTTGACCTCAGCTGGTGTTGACCTCAGCTGGTGTTGACCTCAGCTGGCGTTGACCTCAGCTGGTGTTGACCTCAGCTGGTGTTGACCTCAGCTGGTGTTGACCTTAGCTGGTGTTGACCTCAGCTGGTGTTGACCTCAGCTGGTGTTGACCTCAGCTGGTGTTGACCTCAGCTGGTGTTGACCTCAGCTGGTGTTGACCTCAGCTGGTGGAGGGCAGGGAGCAGGGAGGAGGAAGGCAGGGGGAAAGAGAGGCTGGCAGGGGGGGGTAGGGAGATGAGTCAGGGAGTGAGGAAGCAGGGAAGTAGGAGGCAGTGGAAAAGAGAGGGAGGGTGAGCGAGGCAGGGAGAGGGAGGGTGAGCGAGGCAGGGAGAGGGAGGGAGGCAGGGAGAGGGAGGGAGGCAGGTAGAGGGAGGCAGGGAGAGGGAGGGAGGCAGGTAGAGGGAGGCAGGGAGAGGGAGGCAGGTAGAGGGAGGGAGGCAGGTAGAGGGAGGCAGGGAGAGGGAGGCAGGGAGAGGGAGCTACAAGCTCAGTCGTTCGTCTTGTTGACACCAGAGAATGAAGAGGGAAGAGAGAGCTAAGAAGAAGGAGATGGGGGGAGCAGCGGACGAAAGGAGAATAACGATGGAAAGAAAGCACTAATGGTAGTGAAAGTAAGAGACATAATGGATGATAAAGAGCTCGTGAAGATGAGTGAAAGTGAGAGTGAGAGGCGATTAGCCGGATTCACAGACAACTCTTATTTCACACAACTTAAGTAAAAGTTTATTTTGCCTGGGCATTTATGGGTAGACAGTTACGTTCATATTATCACTGAAAGGTCATTAGAAAGGTCAGTGATCAAGGCAACTGTTTGGTCAGACGTGCACCACAGAGGTCAAGGGTCAACACTTTCTGCTATCAAATTAATGTCAGATTCAAAGGTTAATTTCTACGGTCCATACGAGGCAGCTCCTATTGGTCCATACGAGGCAGCTCCTATTGGTCCATACGAGGCAGCTCCTATTTGTCCATACGAGGCAGCTCCTACTGGTCCATACGAGGCAGCTCCTATTGGTCCATACGATGCAGCTCCTATTGGTCCATACGAGGCAGCTCATATTGGCCCATACGATGCAGCTCCTATTGGTCCATACGATGCAGCTCCTATTGGTCCATACGAGGCAGCTCATATTGGTCCATACGATGCAGCTCCAATTGGTCCATACGAGGCAGCTCATATTGGCCCATACGATGCAGCTCCAATTGGTCCATACGAGGCAGCTCATATTGGCCCATACGAGGCAGCTCCTATTGGTCCATACGAGGACCAGTCACCGTGGAGTTACCTTGCGAATATTTCGGGGCTCAGCGTCCCCGCGGCCCGGTCCTCGACCACGATTCCTGATCACTGGCTGAGATAATTCATGGACAGGTATTTTGGAAGTTATGAGGTGAACTGTCCCTTAAGGTGAACTGTCCTGCCCGGTCTGCAGGTGACGACCAAACAAGAGAAAAGGCGCCAAATTGTCAAATGATTTCAAGAGCCCAGAAGTTGTGAGATAAGAGAAGGTGGAGAAGAGAGGCACATAACTAGAGAACATCATCAGTGTGGTGGCGGGAAAGACAGAATAAGAGAAAGAAGATAGGAAGAGATAAAGCAAGAGAAAGAAAATGGGAAGAGATACAATAAGAGAAACAGAAGGAAGATACAAACTAAGAGAAAGAAAAGAGCAAGAGACAAAGTAAGAGAAAAGGGAGACGGAGATCATGCAATAATCTATGCAACAAGAGAGAAGCAAGAGATCAACATTAGTATCCATAGCCGGCAATTAGCCGCTAATTACTGGACCACCTGGTAGTTGACTGGTAACAAAGAATCAACATTAGCTCAAGAAAGAATTAAGAATGAAATAAATCAGGTTGAAAAGATGAAGGGTTTGTCCTGCAATTCCTCGACCTCCAGAAAGTCTTCGACACTGTACTCTACAGGATAGAGATATGGGTAGTTGAGTAATTAAGTTGTTGTGGTGGGCAAGGCTCTATTCTCTAATATATTTTACTATATTTATGTCAATAAATCTTGGCAAACAAATATGAATGATTTATTTTTCAGGGAGTTACAAGCAGAATAACCCCCCCCCCAACAGGAGAGCTTCGGTCAGCCTGCTACCGCTGTAGGAGGCTGCGGCCAGCCTGCTACCGCTGCAGGAGAGCTGCGGTCAGCCTGCTACCGCTGCAGGAAGGCTGCGGTCAGCCTGCCACCGCTGCAGGAGGCTGCGGCCAGCCTGCTACCGCTGTAGGAGGCTGCGGCCAGCCTGCTACCGCTGTAGGAGGCTGCGGCCAGCCTGCTACCGCTGTAGGAGGCTGCGGCCAGCCTGCTACCGCTGCAGGAAGGCTGCGGCCAGCCTGCTACCGCTGCAGGAAGGCTGCGGCCAGCCTGCTACCGCTGTAGGAGGCTGCGGCCAGCCTGCTACCGCTGTAGGAAGGCTGCGGCCAGCCTGCTACCGCTGCAGGAAGGCTGCGGCCAGCCTGCTACCGCTGCAGGAAGGCTGCGGCCAGCCTGCTACCGCTGCAGGAAGGCTGCGGCCAGCCTGCTACCGCTGCAGGAAGGCTGCGGCCAGCCTGCTACCGCTGCAGGAAGGCTGCGGCCAGCCTGCTACCGCTGTATGAGGCTGCGGCCAGCCTGCTACCGCTGTAGGAAGGCTGCGGCCAGCCTGCTACCGCTGTAGGAAGGCTGCGGCCAGCCTGCTACCGCTGCAGGAAGGCTGCGGCCAGCCTGCTACCGCTGCAGGAAGGCTGCGGCCAGCTTGGCTTTATCTGAAGGCAACACAATCGTGGAATGGACCGTTGGGACTAATTCTTAACACCAAAACTTCCCCGCCATTGTTGCTGGCGTGTGTTGTGATTTGCGGGTTGTGACTTGCTGTAAGCACGGCTGTGTGTGTGTGTGTGTGTGTGTGTGTGTGTGTGTGTGTGTGTGTGTGTGTGTGTGTGTGTGTGTGTGTGTGTGTGTGATTATTTGATTGTAGTTTTACGTTGTTGAGTGTATATATTTTTGTGTATACAGATACAGTAGACGTTTGTTTGTGTGTGAAGTTGTGACGATGAATGTAATGTATTGTATTTGTGTGTGTGTGTGTGTGTGTGTGTGTGTGTGTGTGTGTGTGAGAGCCTCTGTATGTGCGTGTGTAATTGCGTGGGCTGCCTCAAGTGTGTCGTCTCTCGCGGGACAGTAAAACAAGAGATAATGGTCCCACACGCCATGTTTAGTGCCTCGGGCTGAGAATTTTATCAGACGAGCGGTCGTCGCCGGGTGTGTGTGTGTGTGTGTGTGTGTGTGTGTGTGTGTGTGTGTGTGTGTGTGTGTGTGTGTGTGTGTGTGTGTGTGTGTGTGTGTGTGTGTGTGTGTGTGTGTGTACTCACCTAGTTGTACTCACCTAGTTGTGTTTGCGGGGGTTGAGCTCTGGCTCTTTGGTCCCGCCTCTCAACCGTCAATCAACAGGTGTACAGATTCCTGAGCCTATCGGGCTCTATCATATCTACACTTGAAACTGTGTATGGAGTCAGCCTCCACCACATCACTTCCTAATGCATTCCATTTGTCAACCACTCTGACACTAAAAAAGTTCTTTCTAATATCTCTGTGGCTCATTTGGGCACTCAGTTTCCACCTGTGTCCCCTAGTACGTGTGCCCCTTGTGTTAAATAGACTGTCTTTATCTACCCTATCAATCCCCTTCAGAATCTTGAATGTGGTGATCATGTCCCCCCTAACTCTTCTGTCTTCCAGCGAAGTGAGGTTTAATTCCCGTAGTCTCTCCTCGTAGCTCATACCTCTCAGCTCGGGTACTAGTCTGGTGGCAAACCTTTGAACCTTTTCCAGTTTAGTCTTATCCTTGACTAGATATGGACTCCATGCTGGGGCTGCATACTCCAGGATTGGCCTGACATATGTGGTATACAAAGTTCTGAATGATTCTTTACACAAGTTTCTGAATGCCGTTCGTATGTTGGCCAGCCTGGCATATGCCGCTGATGTTATCCGCTTGATATGTGCTGCAGGAGACAGGTCTGGCGTGATATCAACCCCCAAGTCTTTTTCCTTCTCTGACTCCTGAAGAATTTCCTCTCCCAGATGATACCTTGTATCTGGCCTCCTGCTCCCTACACCTATCTTCATTACATTACATTTGGTTGGGTTAAACTCTAACAACCATTTGTTCGACCATTCCTTCAGCTTGTCTAGGTCTTCTTGAAGCCTCAAACAGTCCTCTTCTGTTTTAATCCTTCTCATAATTTTAGCATCGTCCGCAAACATTGAGAGAAATGAATCGATACCCTCCGGGAGATCATTTACATATATCAGAAACAAGATAGGACCGAGTACAGAGCCCTGTGGGACTCCACTGGTGACTTCACGCCAATCGGAGGTCTCACCCCTCACCGTAACTCTCTGCTTCCTATTGCTTAGATACTCCCTTATCCACTGGAGCACCTTACCAGCTACACCTGCCTGTCTCTCCAGCTTATGTACCAGCCTCTTATGCGGTACTGTGTCAAAGGCTTTCCGACAATCCAAGAAAATGCAGTCCGCCCAGCCCTCTCTTTCTTGCTTAATCTGTGTCACCTGATCGTAGAATTCTATCAAGCCTGTAAGGCAAGATTTACCCTCCCTGAATCCATGTTGGCGATTTGTCACGAAGTCCCTTCTCTCCAGATGTGTTACCAGGTTTTTTCTCACGATCTTCTCCATCACCTTGCATGGTATACAAGTCAAGGACACTGGCCTGTAGTTCAGTGCCTCTTGTCTGTCGCCCTTTTTGTATATTGGGACCACATTCGCCGTCTTCCATATTTCTGGTAGGTCTCCCGTCTCTAGTGACTTACTATACACTATGGAGAGTGGCAGGCAAAGTGCCTCTGCACACTCTTTCAGTACCCATGGTGAGATCCCATCTGGACCAACAGCCTTTCTAACATCCAGATCCAGCAGGTGTCTCTTGACCTCCTCTCTCGTAATTTCGAACTCCTCCAAGGCCGCCTGGTTTACCTCCCTTTCTCCTAGCACAGTGACCTCACCCTGTTCTATTGTGAAGACCTCCTGGAACCTCTTGTTGAGTTCCTCACACACCTCTCTGTCATTCTCTGTATACCTGTCCTCGCCTGTTCTAAGTTTCAATACCTGTTCTTTCACTGTTGTTTTCCTTCTGATGTGACTGTGGAGTAGCTTTGGTTCGGTCTTGGCTTTGTTTGCTATATCATTTTCAAAAATTTTCTCTGCTTCTCTTCTCACCCTGACGTACTCATTCCTGGTTCTCTGGTATCTCTCTCTGCTTTCTGGTGTTCTGTTATTCCGGAAGTTCCTCCACGCCTTTTTGTTCAGTTTCTTCGCTTCCATACATGCCCTATTATACCATGGATTCTTCTGTTGCTTCTCGGATTTTTCCCTTTGGGCCGGGATGAACCTGTTTACTGCCTCCTGACACTTTTGGGTAACATAGTCCATCATACCCTGTACAGACTTGTCTCTGAGGTCTGTGTCCCAAGGTATTTCACTTAGGAAACTTCTCATCTGTTCATAATTCCCCTTTCGGTATGCCAGCCTTTTGATTCCTAGTTCTTTTTGGGGGGAGATAAGTCCTAGCTCTACCAGGTACTCAAAGTTCAATACACTGTGGTCACTCATTCCCAAGGGCGCTTCCATCTTAACTTCCCTTATATCCCATTCATTTAGGGTAAATATCAAATCAAGCATTGCTGGTTCATCTTCTCCTCTCATTCTTGTTGGTTCTTTGGTGTGCTGGCTTAGAAAGTTTCTTGTTGCCACGTCCAGCAGCTTAGCTCTCCATGTTTCTGGTCCTCCATGCGGGTCTCTGTTCTTCCAATCTATCTTCCCATGGTTGAAGTCTCCCATAATTAGTAGTCCAGATCCATTCCTGCTAGCAACAGAAGCTGCTCTTTCTATTATGTTAATGGTGGCCATGTTGTTTCTATCATATTCCTGTCTAGGTCTTCTGTCATTTGGTGGTGGATTATATATGACTGCGACTATAATTTTTTTCCCTCCATTTGTTACAGTACCTGCTATGTAGTCACTGAAACCTTCACAGCCCTGAATATCCATCTCCTCAAAATCCCAGCCTTGTCTTACCAGCAGAGCTACACCACCCCACCTCTTCCTTCCCTCTCCTTCCTCATAACATAATAGTCCTGTGGGAACACTGCATTTGTTATCGTTTTCGTGATCTTTGTTTCTGTGAGGGCTATTATGTCTGGGTTTTCCTCTAGTACCAGTTCTCCAAGCTCATTTGCTTTATTTGTAATTCCATCTATGTTTGTGTACATCGTTGAGGCTCACTTTCTTCTGTCCCTTCTCAAATCGCCTCCTTGGTGAGTGTTCTGCTGTGGGGGAGGCTGTTCCATGGGTGTGAGGACCTGTGAGGTGGATAACAGGGTCTCAGAGGATACTGGGATGAGGTGCGGGGGATCCAGTGAAGGGGGAGGGACAGGGAGGGTATGGGGTGAAAGGTGTGGTGTGTGTGTGTGTGTGTGTGTGTGTGTGTGTGTGTGTGTGTGTGTGTGTGTGTGTGTGTGTGTGTGTGTACTCACCTAGTTGTGCTTGCGGAGGTTGAGCTTTGGCTCTTTGGTCCCGCCTCTCAACTGTCAATCAACAGGTGAACAGGTTCCTGAGCCTATTGGGCTCTATCATATCTACACTTGAAACTGTGTATGGAGTCAGCCTCCACCACATCACTTCCTAATGCATTCCATTTATTAACTACTCTGACACTGACAAAGTTCTTTCTAACGTCTCTGTGGCTCATCTGGGTACTAAGCTTCCACCTGTCTCCTTGTTCGTGTCACACCCGTGCTGAAGAGTTTGTTTTTGTCCACTTTGTCAATTCCCCTGAGAATTTTGTAGGTGGTTATCATGTCTCCCCTTAAACTTCTGTCTTCCAGGGACGTGAGTTTCAGCTCCTGTAGCCTTTCCTCGTAACTCATTCCTCTCAGTTCCGGGACCAGTCTGGTGGCATACCGCTGAATCTTCTCTAACTTTGTCTTGTGTTTAATTGAGTATGGACTCCAAGCTGGAGCTGCATATTCCAGGATTGGTCTGACATAAGTGGTATACAGGTATTTCTTATGCTGGCCAATCTAGCATATGCCGCTGATGATATCCTTTTGATGTGGACCTTTGGGGACAGGTTCGGTGTGATATCGACCCCCAAACTTTCTCTCTATTTGACTCCTGTAGGCTTTCACCTCCCAGATGGTACCTTGTGTTCAGCCTTCTGCTCCCTTCGCCTAATTTCATTGCTTTGCACTTTCCTGAGTTGAATTTTAGTAGCCTTTTTCTAGACCACGCCTCCAGCCTGTCCAGGTCGTCCTGTAGTCTCTGTCTATCTTCATCTGTCTTGATTCGTCTCATAATTTTTGCATCATCAGCAAACAATGAGAGTAATGAGTCTATACCCTCCGGAAGACCGTTTACATATATTAGAAACAGGATGGTTCCAAGTACAGAGTCCTGTGGGACTTCGCTGGTGATATCTCGCCACTCTGATGCCTCCCCCTCACCGTTACTCGCTGTTTCCTGTTGCTTAGATACTCCCTTATCCACTGGAGCACCTTCCCTTTTACTCCTGCCTGTTGCTCCAACTTTCGTAACAGCATTCTATGGGGTACTGTGGCAAAAACTTTCTGACAGTCCAAGAAAATGCAGTCGGCCCACCCTTCTCTTTCTTGCCTAATTTTTGTTTCTTGGTCATAGAACTCTATTAACACTGTGAGGCACGATTTATCATCTTTGAACCCATGTTGGTGGTGTGTTACAAAGCTATTTCCTTCCAGATGCTCTACGAGCCTTTTTTCTCACGATCTTCTCCATCACCTTGCACGGTTTACAAGTTAGGGAAACTGGCCTGTATTTCAATGCCTCTTGCCTGTCACCCTTTTTGTATATTGGGACTACATTAGCTGTCTTCCAACTTTCTGGTAGGTCTCCTATTTCCAGTGACCTGTTATACACCATAGAGAGTGTCACTTTTAGTGCTTCTGCACCTTCGTTTAGTATTCACGGTGAGATTCCGTCAGGCCCAACAGCCTTTGTCACATTCAGCTCCATCAGACTCCTTTTGACCTCATCACTGGTGAGGTCAAATTCTTCCAAGGTTGCTTGGTTTGCCTCCTCCTTTAGCACAGGGGGCTTCACCTTGTTCTTTTGTGAAGACCTCCTGGAATCTCTTGTTGAGTTCTTCATACATCTTGTCATTCTCTGTGAATCTGTGTTTGTTGTGTGTGTGTGTGTGTGTGTGTGTGTGTGTGTGTGTGTGTGTGTGTGTGTGTGTGTGTGTGTGTGTGTGTGTGTGTGTGTGTGTGTGTGTGTGTGTGTGTGTGTGTGTGTGTGTGTGTGTGTGTGTGTGTGTGTGTGTGTGTGTGTGTGTGCGTGTGTGCGCCCCTGTACTCTCACGGAATACACATAACTTCTTTCCAAATAAAATATATATATATATATATCTGCCCTCCCTACCATGCCAGCCGAAACATTTCTCCCATCTAGAGCAAGTTTTTGCCTGGGAACAGCCAAGCAGCAGTCTGGAAAAGCCTTGATGTAGCGACAGCCAACCATGTCAACCTGATCGTGCATCGAGGCGGTGTTGCAGCGAGTTGCAACTGCAAGGAATTGGTATATGGAAAACCTTCCATATTGAAGGTCATGGTTTGACTCCTGTGCTTGTTGGGGTCACGTTTGTTGCCACTCGAATGATGGTAATGTGTGTGTGTACTTACCTATTTGTACTCACCTATTTGTGCTTGCAGGATCGAGCATTGACTCTTGGATCCCGCCTTTCCAGCTATCGGTAGTTTACAGCAATGACTCCTGTCCCATTTCCCTATCATACCTAGTTTTAAAAGTATGAATAGTATTTGCTTCCACAACCTGTTCCCCAAGTGCATTCCATTTTCCCACTACTCTCACGCTAAAAGAAAACTTCCTAACATCTCTGTGACTCATCTGAGTTTCCAGTTTCCACCCATGTCCCCTCGTTCTGTTATTATTACGTGTGAACATTTCATCTATTTCCACTTTGTCAATTCCCCTGAGTATTTTATATGTCCCTATCATATCTCCTCTCTCCCTTCTTTTCTCTAGTGTCGTAAGGTTCAGTTCCTTCAGCCGCTCTTCATATCCCATCCCTCGTAACTCTGGGACAAGCCTCGTCGCAAACCTCTGAACCTTCTCCAGTTTCTTTATGTGTTTCTTCAGGTGGGGGCTCCATGATGGCGCGGCATACTCTAAGACGGGTTTCACGTAGGCAGTGTAAAGCGCCCTAAAAGCCTCCTCATTTAGGTTTCTGAATGAAGATCTAATTTTCGCCAGTGTAGAGTACGCTGCTGTCGTTATCCTATTTATATGTGCCTCAGGAGTTAGATTAGGTGTCACATCCACTCCCAGGTCTCTTTCTCGAATCGTTACAGGTAGGCTGTTCCCCTTCATTGTGTACTGTCCCTTTGGTCTCCTGTCACCTGATCCCATTTCCATAACTTTACATTTACTGGTGTTAAACTCCAGTAGCCATTTCCCTGACCATCTCTGCAGCCTGTTTAAGTCCTCTTGGAGGATCCTACAATCCTCGTCTGTCACAACTCTTCTCATTAATTTTGCGTCATCTGCAAACATTGACATGTATGATTCCACTCCTGTAAACATATCATTTACGTAAATTAGAAAGAGGATTGGTCCCAGCACCGACCCTTGAGGTACTCCACTTGTTACTGTTCGCCAGTCCGACTTTTCGCCCCTTACCATTACCCTCTGGCTCCTTCCTGTTAGGTAGTTCTTCACCCATACTAGGGCCTTTCCGCTTACTCCTGCCTGCCTCTCAAGTTTGTATAGCAGTCTCATGTGCGGTACCGTATCAAAGGCCTTTGGCAGTCAAGAAATATGCAGTCTGCCCAGCCTTCTCTGTCCTGCCTTATCCTTGTTACTTTATCATAGAATTCTAAAAGGTTTGTTAGGCATGATTTCCCTGTCCAGAACCCATGTTGGTGCTTGTTTACAAACCCAATGCTCTCCAGGTGCTCAACAAGTCTTAGCCTAATTATTCTTTCAAGTATTTTGCAGGGGATGCTTGTCAGTGATACGGGTCTGTAGTTAAGTGCCTCCTCCCTATCACCTTTTTTTGAAAATCGGTACGACATTTGCCTCCTTCCAGCAACTGGGCAATTCTCCCGACATAAGTGACTCATTAAAGATCATTGCCAGAGGCACGCTGAGAGCCTGCGCTGCCTCTTTAAGTATCCACGGTGATACTTTGTCTGGTCCAACTGCTTTACTGGCATCCAGTGTTGTCAACTGTTTCATTACATCCTCTGCTGTCACCTCTATATCTGATAGTCTTTCATCTTGGGTAATCTCTTCTAACAATGGGAGCTGCTCAGGCTCGGTTGTGAACACTCCATGGAATTTTGCATTCAGTACCTCGCAGATTTCCTTGTCGCTTTCTGTATATGCCCCTTCTGTTTTCCTCAGTCTTGTCACTTGGTCATTTACCGACATCTTCCTTCTTATATGGCTATGTAGTAATTTAGGTTGCTTTTTCGCTTTGGCTGCAATATCGTTCTCATAACTTCTTTCCGACACTCGTCTTATGTTAATGTAATCATTCCTAGCTCTGTTACATCTAATCCTGTTGTCCTCTGTCCTTTGTCTTCTGTACTTCCTCCACTCCCTCCTGCTTCTCACCTTTGCTTCCTGACACTGTCTATTAAGCCATGGGTTATTATATTCCCTCCTGCTTTTTTCCTTTATTGTTGGAATAAATCTCACTTCAGCCTCCTTGCATTTCAATATGATTTGGTTCATCATACCTTGCACTGTTTTTCC